AAAGAGAAGAATATATGGATACATATACATATATAATATATATACAATTATATTTAAATGGCATTGTTATAAATTTGTCAAATTGGAAAATATAAGTTAACTTTGATTATCATAAAAGCATGAAAATTAAACATCAAATATAATTTCAATTCTACGTTTACAGATTGTGTTCAATAAAATATTTGCTTCTGGCGATACTCTCACTTACAGGAGTCACAATAGGATCAGTATTAAATATTATGAATGGTCAATTACCTTGTCGAATATGGTTGCCATTGGATTACAATGTGTCTTTAGTGTTCTGGATTATATCTATTCAACAAGTTATAGCTATATGTTTTGGCACTATCATAAATGTCGCTACGGAAACCCTAGTTTTTGGATTAATTTTAGAAACGTGTGCCCAACTCGAAATTTTCGAAAATCGTCTTCATAAATTAATAAATAAGAAAACAATTAAATATCTGGGAAATGCCCTTTACTCGTTGAATGAAGACAAGGAATATCGAAATGTATACGACATCATCTCAGTATTTACAAGTAAGTCGCTAATTGAGAATCCATTTTTATACAGTATGTTTTTATATATATATTTAACTTTGCAAAAGTATTTATATATTAAACAATAAATGTCAATATATTGAAATTTAAAAACGAAAAAATAAAGAGCATACACTATGAACGTCAGATATCGTTAGCGATTGATTACATTATAATCTAATTTCACATAATTAAATACATAAACTTTTCGGCCTTATATTTGGCCATCTTCAATATATAATCATTGCAAATTATTTACGCACACAACAATTCATCTACATATTATCTTATGTCTACTTGTCTAACATCAAACTGCTCGTTATTTAACAATTGTTTTTATTTTTAATCAGCAAGTTATTGATGTTAGTCCGAAAAAATTAAAGTTATCATATCTAAAGGCAATCGTCTTTTTATTAAAAGAATTCAGATATTCCAAGTATTCCTATTTAATTGTTACATTTAACGCAGAATTTCCAGATTCTGTGTATTTAAGCAAAACATTGTAACGAGTACTTATTACAACAAGTCATCCACTCTCGATATCTTTCCATAAAGTGACTGTAACACAGAAACTGTAACACTGGAAATTTTGCATTCAATGTAACAACTAAATAGGAATACTTGGAATTATTGAATTCTTGTTGACTTAATGTAAGGCCGAAACATTTATGTATTTAATTATGTGGAATTAGATTATAATATATTGTAATCAAATATAATCAATCGCTAATGATATTTGCGATGGTATGCCCTTTATTTTCGTATTTATGTATTATTTGAAGATTGTGTTTCTAAAAATTGCAATTGATATAACAATACTTATTAATATTTTTTATAAAAAATTGTTTAAGGTCTAAAGATAGTAATTATAGATAATTGATTTGGAAATAATAAGTAACCATTATCAATTCGATAAGAAAGCATTATCAATGTGTGATTTTATCGTTCTATTTACTATTACATAGATGTATACGTACACGGAGAGTTCCAGAATAACTGCCAAATTTGTGCACGGCAAGAACTAATCTGAGTTGGAAAGTCCTTTACTATATTGCAATTTTCATAATAGTTAACAATATTAATTACTAAAAATCGCTAAATATTGATTTTCAATAATTTTTCATTCAAATACTATCAACTTTACAGCAAGAGACAAAAATTATTTATTTTCTTTTCATAGAATTTTGAAAATTTTTTCAGAAGTTTTTATCAACTTTTTAGTACTACATTTCTTTATTGGCAACTATTTTTATCAACATGAGAAAATGCGGTACTAAAAACTTATGAAAGTAAACAATTTTTGTTTCTTGCTGTTTTTCTATAAAATTGATACTTGAATAAAAAATTATTAAATTAAACATAGCCAATATTTGGCGATTTTTAATAATTAATATCTTGTTAACTAATTATGAAAATTGCAATATAGTAAAGAACTTTTCGATTTAGTTTAGTATACTCTACCTGCGTTCGAAATATTTATCGGTCATTCTGGGATATCTTCTATATGCTTATTATTATAGTAAATAATTATTATTATAGTAAATAATTGCAATTAATAGATATTACATGTACTTGCTTAAAACTAGAAAGTTTTCATTTCAATAAATACACACAATTTTTCTATAAATTTAAAAATTATATAAATTGTTATTCAATTATGTATAAGGATAGTAATTTATTGTAATATGAAACTAACATGAAACTATTACAGATATGCCAAAACGGTAAACGTTATATTTAACCAGATGCTATTCGTTCAATTCTTTGCAAGTATACTGGTATTATGTTCAGCTGTGTATTATCTGTCAATGCATATTACAGAATTGTCTCGTATTGCAACTTTTTTAGTGTACACCATTGGCATGTTTATACAAATTTATATTTATTGCTGGTCTGGAAACGAAGTCATTCTTAAGGTAAATATCGATACTTTATAAACAGTAAACACAAGCTGATACATGTTAGTAAAGTAATGAAAAGTACACATATTTTCTATAAATTAATTTGTTGTATAAAATTTCGAAAAAAAATAAATCTAACAACTTATACTTGATTGATTTTAAAATAGTCTAAGTTCTTTAAAATAGTCTGGGTGCTTTCCATTTGATGACACAAGTTGACACGTCTATTTAGCTCCCCCCTCCCCCTCCCCGCCACCCACTTAATCAAATCATAGTGAATAAATTATATAATAATGTACGTTCTCAAAATTCACAAAAAAAGTAAATAAGAGATTATTTTTTTTATATATGAAATTTTATTTTTATATATGAAAAGACAAATATTTATTTATATTATGTTCATCAGTCTTATATTATTTTACACGTACACACATAATACAAAACTAATTATAATTGATTGAAGATTATACAGTATTATTACTGCAATATTATTATATATGTTATGTTGGCAGAGTATGAACGTAGGAAACACAATATATTGTATGGATTGGCCATTATTATCAGTTAACGAAAAAAAAGAATTGCTCATTGTCATGATACGAAGCACAATTCCTATAAAGTTCACTAGCAGTTTTTTGATAACTCTATCCCTTCAGTCTTACAGCAATGTTAGTATTGTTGTAATATGTATAAGTACTTTAGTGATAAAATTTCTATGCGATGTTATGAATGTTTGTGGCACAAGTCGCAAAATAAGTGAATTTTTTAATAACTATATAATATTCTGAACATTAACGTTTTCTATAATTTATCTTCTTTCAGATTTTAAAAACATCATACTCGGCTTTTAATGTACTTAAAAAATGAAATATAAATAACTAAAGTGTTGGACATACATAATTACATAGTTTTTCATAAATCAGTAAAAGCTAAATACTAAAAAGCTTTTTATTACATACTTATTTCAATTATTCTTTTTTCTAAAATTACGTTAATTATAAGAATAGTAGCGCAAACAGACGCATGTGAAATATATACGTTTTACATAATGTAATGAAATGCATGTTTTGATTTCACACATAAGCAGCACTTATTTTGGTTTCAGCTTAGAGTAAGAAAAAAGAATTTCTGATCAGTTTATGCCATATGTAATATATTGCGCATACGATTGATATTTATAATTATCGTGTGCACTTGTACACACATACAGTACACACTGACAGTTAACTTATTGTTAGAAAACATCTGAATATTTTATAAATTGCCCTTATCGTTATGTTATCTTGTATTTTATGCAAAGTAAGACTTTATGAGAAATATAGTCTTCTATTTAATACTGATAGTCATTGAAAATATTTTATTCAATGGGAATATGACAACGTGCGTTATTATAAGAAACGACATCCCCCGACAGTTATAAGTAGGAAAACTTTCACAATTATAGTATTCATTTAGAAGCGGAAAAGAATGCACACCCTGTAATAAATGTCTAATCGACTTCATGTCGACTTCATTTAATAACTGTTATTAATGGTACTAGGGTTAAGACGATGAAGTATGTAATACTGTACGCAGTCTGTCTCGCAAAGCGTGTTCGGTTACATTGAAATTAATTTTATCGAATTCCATAATAATAAAACATATTATATCATTGTTAGTGTTTAGTAATTCTGTATTATTAGTCGAAATTTTAAAAAACAATAGATGCACGATAAATTCTTGTAAACATTGCAACTTAAATGTATTCATACAAATCATACGTTACATTAGAATTAAATAAACTCATGTGATTCTTAGCTCGAGATTATATGTTGTACAGAATCTATGTGTTAGATAAATAAAATTTGTCGCAATCAATCACGTTTATTCAATGTATAATTTAAATATTAGTTTATAGAATTGTTAATTGCAAAATTCATTTCATAAATTATTATACAGCTGTCTATATTAAATTCAATTTTTACTAATCTAATTATATTTTATATATACATATATGTATAACCAGACAGTAAGGATATTTAAGAAAAGACATTTTTTCGCAATATTTTAAAACTATTTTTTTAGATGTTTTACATGTAAAAAGGACTGTTTTTTAAACAAAACTAATAAATTGATTCTAAAAAAGGAATTTCAAAAATGCAAATATTTTCTTTAAATTTTTTGATATATACCATTTGTGGTATATGGCGACCGATCGAATGGTCATCAAATGGTGTCAATTTTCTGTATAATGTATTTACTTATATTGTATTATTCTTGGAATACTTTTTGATGTTAACTCAATTTCTGGATTTTCTATTTGTTATCGATAATATTGATGATTTCGTTGCTAATTCTATAATGTTCGTGAGTGTTGCTGCTGTTGTATGTAAAGCGACTGTCGTTGTAATACGTCGCAATGCGATCATTAGCTTGATACAAGTATTGTTGAAAGATCCATGTAAACCTCAAGATGAAGACGAAATAGCAATACAAACAAAATTTGATCAGTTCATCAGGTAGGTATCACACATTATTAGGCTAATCTTAAGGTGAAGCTTTAATGAAACTGAAATAGATGCCTACGTAATAATTTAATTCCTGTACAATTGGTATCATTTCTTCTGTACAATTGGTACCATTTCTTATTTCGAATTCAGCATTGATAAATATTACCACTTTAAAATTTTAACATTTAATTTTACAATTCAACTATCTTTATCCATTTAATATTTTAAAGATTAATATTTTAATACATTTAATTTTTTGCATTTTACTTAAACTAATTAATATTTCTTGTAACGTAAATTCTTAAATATTATTTTGCAGAAGTATACTTCCATATTTTGCTTCTAATCATGCGCGCAATTACACACACACACACACACACACACGCGCGCGCGCGCGCGGAGAGAGAGGGAGGGGGGAGGGAGGGAGGGGGAGAGAGAGAG